TATTAAAAATATTCTATGACATGACACCCATATCTAGTAGAAGTTAAAAGACGGGCTTTATGCATAGGCTAGTTAAAAGATTACACTAATAATAGGCTACTTTTCCCATAGCCCATTATAGATAAACTAACATGATCTATAAAGGTGCAAAATGTATTTACTTATATTTGAGAATTGTGATATTTTATGATATAGTTAACAAGTTTGGGAATATTTTGAATAAAAAAGGAACAAAATTTCAAACGAGGGGGGCCTTTAATCGGTCTGTGTCCAGGGCACCACTGTGTCATAATCTGTCCCTGATAACAAACTACAGACACTTGAACTACAATTCACACTGTGTCATTGTTCTCTACAGGTTGGTTGATTGTGGCGTCACAGATGAAGGTTGTGCTTCTCTGGCTTCAGCTCTGAGATCAAACCCCTCACACCTGAGACACCTGGATCTGTCTATGAACAAACTAGGAAAATCAGTGAATCTGCTCTCTGATGTACTACAAAATCCTCACTGTAAACTGGAGATACTGTGGTAAGATTATATATGATACACTGTAAAATATTTGTGAAGTGAAATACAAATCACCCAAACAAGTCTGAAAACACAGTAAGTCAGACAATGTAAAAATTAGGTACTGTTTGTGAATGGAATACTTACTACTGATTGAATGAGACAACTGTTAATCAAGATACAGAGATACAGAAAGTAAAACATTGTGTGGCTTTGTTTCTTGTTCATGTGTGGACGTCTGTGTTCATGTTAAACTGGTTTTTGCATTAGCAACACCTTTAAATGGATTGTCTGTTTACACTAAGTGCTAATAGCCTGTCTTGTTAGCAAAGGCTTGACTGTTATCAGACAAATTTACTGAAGAAACCAGTCAGATAAGTGGGAGAGTAAGGACAGTGGACTTTTGAGGCGACCAACCCGAGTACAAATCTGCATTTCTTCTCATTTATTCCATTGTATATTAGCTCAGAGAGGTGTTTATATTGTGACGTTTTGCACTTTCCCAGGAGAAACAGACAGGAGATGAGAATCCGGTTTGCAAGCACCCAACGGGCTGTAGTTTATTTCCTGAACATCTAAAACACGGGTATAAGGAGGTGTCTTAACTTCCCAAAGAAACAACAAAACGCAAAAAGAGCTTTACTAACTTTTTTTCCGCCCCGCTCACGGCCAACTCACTTTTCTTTCCACTACCTGAGCCCGCGCTTGCCCCTCCCTCCTCACTCTTTCCCTCCCGACCACCTCCCCCCCAACAGCAGGTGAATCAAGTAAACACATTTATAACAGAGAATAAACAGTGTCATCGCCACACTGCCCCCTCCTCAGGTTTCCTCGTCCCCGAGGAAAGGTGAAATCCACAAAACGCTGGGGCACACGAAGTGCCTCCCTGGGCCGAAGCCGTGATCCAGTCTTCGCTCTTGTGGTCTGCTGCGGGCCACTGGCAGGTAGCCCATGCCTCAAGGGGTTAGTCCACCGGAACTCCACATCCTGGCCGCTACGACGGCCTCCACTGCAATGTCTTCCGCCAGTCAAATGATGATCAGGGCTCATTTTGCGATCTTCAGGTGCCCCCAACCCAGACTGACCCAGAAGAACCCCAGACCCTCCCGGTGCTGCGTGTTCAGCTCCTCCGGCTCCTCCGAGAGCACCCCCAGGAGCCCGGGTCAAAAGGTCACCCTCTTCACATTCCGCTGAGGTTCCCCAGGTTCCCCACGGCGCTGCGTGTTCAGCTCCTCCGTCCACAGGGTGGGTCGCCCCAGCAGTCTGCCGTTGACCTCTGCTCTTGAAGGGTTGACGTTCTCCCATATATGGAGCCATTCTGTCCCGGTGTAAAACTACCGTCTGTCCCCCAGGCCTCTTCCGAACACGGTAAACCGACTCTCCAAGCCTCTTCACTACGTAACAGGGTCCTACCCAGGCACAATCCAGTTTAGGTGAACGTCCCTTCTGCCTCTTCGGACTATAGACCCATACCAGTTCTCCAGCATTAAAATCGCGTCCCGTACAATGATGGTCATATGCCCGTTTTTGCCGAACACCTGCCTGCAAAGCCTGACGACGAGCAAACTCATGGGCTGACTGCAGCCGGTCCTGTAGCTGATGGGCATACTCCAGT